CATTGTCCAGGGGTCTTCTTTCCACACCAGCACTTCTTTCAACATTTCCTAAACTGAATCTAATGAAGTGTCTAGATGGATTTTGAAATATACTCTGAGAGAATTCTCAGTTTCATAGAGTTTATTCCAGTTTGTAATAGAAACAGTCAGTCACTGGGTGTGTCTGTCAGTGCCTCCCAGACCCTCCCAGACCCTAGGGCCTAGGCTATATATCCTTTGTTCACACCCCAGGTCACACCTGATAGGCTGATTCAAACTTCCCTTCTGGGCCAGACTGGACAGCTCCAACGGCCAGTCAGATTACTACAATCTAAAATCCTACCTGCCTATTATTCTGGGATTGAAGCTCCAGACATAACAGATTTCTCACATGGCAGCAGTGGGTTGATGGTGGAATTAGGGCACCACTGAATTTTCACGCAGTTCAGATTTTCACTGTGAGAGGAAAATCTGTTTCTACCTCCCCACCCCTGTGTGCGTGTGCTTCCCCAGACCTCTTCACAGCCACTGATTCTGAAAAGGTTCAAAAAATGGCAGCCCAAACCATCAAGGGTTGCAGCATTTGGGGCTTGTAAGTTTAGAGAAAAAGCACCTAATAGGAGGTATGATAAAAGTGCATACAATTATGCAAACTGAGGAGAAAATGGACAGAAGGAAGTTTTTGTCCTTCTCTAGCACTAGAACCTGCGGACATCCGTGAAGCTGAACATTGGACAATTCAGGACAGAGAAAACAAAGAACTTCTTCGCCTAGCACATAGTTAAACTACGGCCTTTGCTCCCACAGCGATGGCCACCAACTTGGATGGTTTTAAAAGAGGTTTACAAACATTCATGGAAGAGTAGGCTATCAATAGCTCCGAGCCACAATGGCTACATTCTCATTCCAGGGCTGAAGGTAGTATGCTTCGGAATACTGGTTGCTGAACACTATAGGAGGGGAGAGAGTTTTTGCACTCAGGTCATACTTGTGGGATTCCAATAGACAGCTGGCTTGTCACTGTGAGAACAGGATTCTGGGCTAAGTGCGCCACTGACTTGATTCAGCAGGCTCTTCTTGTGTTCTTAAAATAAAACAAAGCATGCAAGCAAGCAAGCAAGAATAGGTGTGTTCAGGCTTTTATCTTTCCCACAGCAACATATCGATGGTACATTTTTCAAAAATCACTATTTCCATTACACCTTTGGCCTAATTCTTCAGTCCTCATTCTCAGCTGAACCAAAGCATAACAGTACAATCCTATGCATGCCTCCTCAGAGATTGGGATGTCAGAGAACTTTGATGAAAATGGAAACAGGAGCGGAAATTGCCATTGTTTGCTTATTGTCCCATGTCTAGAACAGAACTCCATCCAGTGAATACAATCAGTATTGGATGTTGTTGTTGCTTTCAGTGCACAAATGATATGCAATTGATTATGTTTTTCTGCATTTGCATTGTGTTTCTTTTGAGTTGAAATGGATATGGGGTGGAACTACATAATGACAACATAATTTTTGCCACAGTGGACAGCAAGACAAATAACGTAGACAAACTGCAACAGAACGGAAGCAGGCCTGCATGTGATGAAAACAGTGTGGAACAAAAAACAATGAATTCTTGCAACCCTGCACAGAGGTGAACCCCACTGAGGACAATGGGACTTACTTCAGCTAATTGGGTATAGGATTGCAGCCAAGCAGAGCAAAACTAATTTTCCTTTATGCCAAGGGTGGAGGAGATCTACTGATATAGCTACTGCCAAATCTATTGACCTGCTGTTTTGTAATGCTCAGAGCAGGAGGTAAGAGGCAGCATTTTCTCCCCCCACCCCGCCCCCATTAAATGCAGTCGAAGGCAACTAACTATGCCAGCCACAGGGTTAGCATACAGTTTGACCACTATAGTTTGGGGAAGCAAAAGAGCTGGAGATGTGGGACATACCCCTGGCCCAAAAGCCCAACAGCACTTTTGCAATATCTATGTCAGTGGAGCCAAGGCACCTCCAACAGTGTAACACTTGACCCACCAACATATCTCTCCCATTCTTTCAGCCTCCAGGGGAGGACAGCATTCCCCCCTGATTATTTGTAATTCAATTTTCTGCCCTTCATCCCTGGCTAACATCATCTCTCCCTCCCTTCCCTTTGTTACCCTACTTCCTTTCTAAATTTGGGCATTCCAAGTGTCTTGCCCCTGGATCCCAGTAACATTTAACTAAAGCAGAAGTGTAATGTAAGATCAGTTCAGAATTTGACACTCCATGTCATTGATTATCACTGGTGTCAATGATGTCATGTCATACCTTGTGTTAACTGTGACCATAGTAGGGTTCACTCGAACAGCCTCTGTACACTTTCATGTGCATTGGCCAAAGCCAAAATAGGCTGCAGTTAGTGTCACTGTGAAAGAGCTATCCATGCGCATAGCAAGGTGCCCTTGAAATGTTTTAAACTGCAACTCCCATCCATGTTGTCTGGGGTTGGTAGGAGTTATAGTCCAAATTTTTGGACTGCATCAGATGGACAAAGGCTGGTGTATGGCGAGAGATGGAAAAGAAGTGGAGAAGGGGCAGATGCCTTAGCTTTAAACTATAGTTAAATCCAAATTCTCAGATCCCATTGCATACAATTTTAAAACACCAGGCCAGATTTAAATATAAGTGAAGACTAGTGGGTCAGTATTTTTTAAGGAAAACTGGATTTAGATATTTAATTTTAATAAAAGCTACTGCAGCCTGGAAACCAAGAGTGGTGGCAGGAATGTTGCCCAGGTGGTCTTTAAAAATTGATTTTAAGATTAGGGTTTGGCAAGGGCAGGTTGGGGTATCTAGAGCAGCCAGATCTAATTCCAACCCATCTTGGTCTACTGTTGCATCATCATTTATTATTCACAGTTCAGATAGCTGATCTCCCAGAGGAAGCGTTCTCTTTAATTAGCATCAGCACCACAGGATGAATGGTCATTTGACTGATTTTGCTTGGCAATGAAACTTTAGGACACCTACCACTATTCTAAAATGAAGTTAAGGAAACATTTAAAAATAAGCACACAACTAGTTTTGCCATAGGGTGGCATCTACTTGAGCTGACTTTATCCTGACTTTATCATGATTGTATGAACATATATCATCACAAAATCATGATTATATTATTATATGGCCTGCTTAAAATCCTTTAACTTCACCATCATTAGGAACCCCATTGAACCCCTTGCCAGAACAGATGATATCCTGTTGTACTCAGGTTTTGCTTGTGGGTGGGCTTCCCATAGGCATCTGGTAGGTCACTGTGAGAACAGAGTGTTGGGCCAGGTGGGTGTTGGGCCTGATCCAGCAGGCCTTTTCTCAAGTTGTTTGGATCTCTATGCACCACACACAACAAGAATGGGGAGCCTGTGCCACCCCAACCCCATGAGAGGTTGTTGGACTCTTATGATCATCCTCAACCATTGGTCTGACTGAGGCTGATAGGAGTTGAAGTCAAGCAAGTTCTGAAGAGCCAAGGGCTCCCCATTCTTGGCACAGAGGGTTCAGTTGAGTCCTGGGTTCATATCCTGACTGTGTGGCCTTAGTTAAGCCATCATCTTTCAGCCTAGTTCTCTTCACAAGCTAGTGGGGAGAATAAAATGGAACAGCACCGCATATGGAAGACTGGAAACCCAAAAAGCCCAACGTTAATGAGGCCATGGAAGACTGTGTGATTGCTGCCCCTCCGTTCCTTGGACCTTCTTCTCATCCTATCCACACACTTTCTATGGAACAATATTAGATTTCCATTTCCTATAGCAGGTGAAAAGGAAGTATGTCAGATGCCCAGTCTCTTGCTGCTTTGCTAACACTACAGGTGAAATTGGGTTCCCTGTGTTGCAATTGAACAATCAAACTGCCAGTGAATAGTTTGAAGGTACAGTTTAGTAAGATGGCAACCATGTTGTACCTCAGCAAGCCTGGGTCTGGTCAGTGCCACTAGGACACTGTCCATACTTCTTATGGTGCCACCTTAGCTTCCATAGAATAAAGTTAAGATATAAAATTTAAACACAAAAAAGCAATCACACACATATACACACTACCCTGAGTTATTTCAAGCTTGGGAAGTGGATATGGCATGGGGGGGGGGAGCAGCTTTTAAAAACATCCCATTCATGACAGTTGCATTGTATAAACATCCTTGTAAAACTCCAGCTAAATTAGATTCTTGAAAATAGAGTTGCAGAAGCAGCTTTTTGCTGCTTTTTAATGCTAGAAAACCTCACTTGGCAACCAACCATCTGCAGTCTTGTCCCCGTCAGCCTCTAAATGTCATTTCATCCAATGGAGCGGAAGGAAAAGTGACCAACACTAACTGGTACCGATGAGAGTATATGGAAAGCTCCACCCCTCTGCTTATGGCTGGGTACAAGAGCGCACACTCTCCACGGGAAGAGATGTGGAGGAACAGGTTCTTCTGCACGTCACTCAGCTCTCCTTCATCCCATCTCAACACACCAGCAGGGCTCAAACAACAGGAGGAATCCAAGGGGAACAATTGGGCCCTCGTTCTACTTCTAACACTTCTCTTACAGCCTGCTAATGCAGAAGATACCAGAGAGAAAAGCCCAGAAAGAGTCCCCACACATTTTGCCCCTCGTAATTTGCTCAGAGTTGACCCAAACTGGTTCCCCTGGTCAGTGCATCATCATGCCACCCATCTAGGACCCAACAAATTCATGAATGGTGCTCATATAATTTGGCACTCAGTGTGAACTTCTACTGGGGAATACCAAACACTGCTATTGTTACACAGAAGGAACAGCTCCCTCGCTCTGTTGGAAAACACAAAACACACATCCAGAAGCCACTCTGAGGTCCCCCATCAACTTTCTTCAATCCATGGAAACATTGGAAGTTAAGGATTTCTGTTGCTGAGCATCCATCCCCGTTTACACTGAAAAGAGGGGGGAAGAGAGATCAAACAGTAGCCTTTGCAAACCAAATCCACTTGTACTTACTTTGAGTTGCAAAATCCACTTGTACTTACTTTGAGTTGCAAAATCTCCCGTCTCTGTTAAACAGTCTTCAATCCCCCGTGAGGACTTCTGAGCTTTCGCTACACCTTTACTCGCTTTACCCGCTTCTCTCTCTTTTTCTCCCTTCTCGAAATTATTGACTCCTTTTCTTCCTTTGCCCCCTTTTCCAATGTCCCTCTGCTCCTCCTCCTCTTCTTCTCAGTTTACCCTCTTCCTCTTCCTCTTTCAATTCCCCCCCAGAATTTCTCTACTCAAGGCAGGGAACCTGATCCTTGCTTTGACTATAGAGAGAGCAGACTGTGAGTGACTGAGTGAGCGAGAGAAAAGAAAGGGAAGGAGGGGGGGAGAGCAGAGCACAGTTCCCTCATGTGATCTGACTGGGAAGCTTATTAAAAGCAGGTCACTCAAGGGGCAGTCTCTCCCACCAAGACCGATGGAAAGGCAGGAAGCGGGGAGGGGGGGAATCGGAGAGGAACTCTCCATCAGGAATGACATCTTTTTCAAGGGGCTTCAGTCAGTGCAGAGGGAAAGTAAGAGGATACTATTCAGTTCCTCAGAAACTTCAGATGCAGGAAGCACCCAATCAGTTTGTAAGCTTTTGCGCAACCAGTGAGTATCAACCCTTTTTGCTCAGTCCGTAGCAAAAAGTCAGCACTTTTTCGCAACAGCTGGCCGAGATGCATTTTGCCAAAGCTCATCTGAGCTGGAAACAGCTCGAGCAAGCAGTCTACACAGGTGAACACTGCAATTTTAGTCACATACACGAACAAAGGATCACAACAGCTACATCTGTAAACAAGAGCCCAGTGCCAACAATTAGGGATAGGGGCTTCTGCCAATTTCAGATTTCCTCAGCTTCTCATTTTTTCAGATACAGTGGTACCTCAGGTTACACACGCTTCAGGTTACAGACTCCGCTAACCCAGAAATAGTACCTCGGGTTAAGAACTTTGCTTCAGGATGAGAACAGAAATCGTGCTCCAGAGGCGCAGCGGCAGCAGGAGGCCCATTAGCTAAAGTGGTGCTTCAGGTTAAGAACAGTTTCAGGTTAAGAACAGACCTCCGGAATGAATTAAGTACTTAACCCGAGGTACCACTGTATTAAGTTCTGCTCTCCACATTTCCACATCACTTGGTGTTTAAAGTCCTCATGAAAAACCGCCAGCATTTTTCAGTGAATTTCTCCTCATATACAATTTTCCGCCTGGCGCCTTAAAATATATAATGAAGGCACCAGGCGAACCTCCCTGTGGAGAGCATTCCACTAATGGGGAGCCACTACAGAAAAGGCCTGTTTCCATGTTGCCACCATCTGGACCTTGTATGGAGGAGACACACGAAGAAGGGCCTTAGATGATGAATGCAGCAGAGTCTGGGATGGTTTATATGGGGAGAGGCAGTCCTTGAGGTATTGCAATCCTGATCCACGAAAGGCTTTAAAGGTCAAAATCAGCACTTTCAATTGGGCCTGGAAGCTAATTGGTGCAGTAGGGCCAGGATTGGTGTGATATGCTCAAACCATCTTGACCCAGGGAACAAGCTGGCCAGCTGAAGCTTCCAAACCAACTTCAGAGGCAGCCCTACGTATAGTGTGTTGCAGTAATCCAACCTAGAGGTTACCAGAGCATAGATGACAGAAGTTAAGCCATCCCTGTCCAGATAGGGGTGCAGCTGGGCCACCAGCCGAAGCTGATGGAATGCACTCTGTGCCACCAAGGCCACCTGAGCCTCAAGCAACAGCAGATGATTCAGGAGTACCCCAACCCACATACCTGCCCCTTCAGAGGGAATTATGATATGCCTTATAATATGGCAAATGAAGACAATTGCCGACATGCATCTGGGGTGCAAGGTTCAGGCATGTACTAAGCATTATTCTTAGCCTTGAAAGGCCTCGTCCACAAGACTTCAGTCCCATTTTGCCCTGCAAACATCCCACCCACCCTTGGGTTAGGGTCTCACTGTCACTGAGCTTTTTGAGTCGCTGGTTGACAGGGCCGAAAAGGATATTTCTTCTTTCCAACCTCAACTGGCCTCTGGTTGGTGCATTTTCCACCTTTCCCTCAGTGAAATGCGGCTTAGTTGTATTAGGCATTGGCTGGTTTGGTAAGAACCATGGGTGGAAAGGGCATAGGGCAGGAAATACTAAATAGTAAGCTTGGGTTAGGGCCTCTGCTTGGCAGGAATCTCTCACCCTGGTCACCCAGTGAGATCCTGGAGGCTTGGCTCGCACCACAACAGAACTCGATTCTCAGAGACTCCCAGGGAAGGGGCTATGCACTTCCCATCCCAAGAAACTGTTCCTTACCAACTGCCATGCCAACCTCAATAAAGATTTGGCCTGATTATCACTCAACACCTGATGTTCTATCTCAGTTTATTTCACCACTCCTAAGAGACCACATAATACACCTGCTTGGGCAAGCAGGTGGACCAGTGAAGCCAAACCTCCTTGAGAAAAAGTGTTTGTTCGCCGGTGATGGCAAAAAGCAAAACATTCCTCTGCTTAGGTTTTGATTCTTGCCCTCAGGGCTTCCTTCAAGCTCTTCAGTTTCAGATGGATTATGTATAAAGGCAATGTTTTTAAGGAGAGGGTGGGGGAGGAGAGGTAAGCGATAAAAGTTGCCGAAGTCAAATCCCTACTTTCAAATAGACTGAGAAAACAGCTTGCAAGGAAAAGGGGATCAGAATCGGTCAAGAATAAGGCATGCTGGGAAATCTCCATAGACTATGAAGCCTGAGCCTTCCTGAGGCAGTTCATTGAGTAAAAGGAAGGTATGATGGAGTTCTTTTGAAGAAGGATAGAAAAAGCTAGCATAAGTGTTCATCTGAAATCTGCTACTTTCTTTCAAACATCTCCAGTAGGCTAGTCCTCCAAGGGGTGAGGTAGGTACCCAAAAATATCTGTGGAAGGGAACATAGGAGGAGCCTTGCTGGATTAGGCCAAAGGCCCTGCACTCTGGTCCAATCAGATGCCCAGATAAAAGTCATAAGCAGAACCTGACTACAATACAACTCCCCTCTCCTAGGGTTGCCATATTTCAAAAAGTAAAAACCAGGACACCCCAAGCTTTTTTTAGACGAAGTGATTTTTGGTTTACTTGCCAAAGATCCAGGACAAACCTCCACCTTAAGGAAATCCCCCTTGACGTCACTTCTACCTTTGAAATCCCTGTAATATCCGGGAAAATCTGGACATATGGGCAGCCCTACTCTCCACATACAATGCCCAGCAAGTGGGATTCAGAGACATGCTGTTTCTGACAGTGGAGATGGAACATAGCCATCATGGCTGCTGGGAAATTGATTGCCTTACCCTCCAGGAATGCGACTTCATCCTCTTTTAAAGCCGTCCAATATGACATCTGGTGGGGTGCATGTTTCCCCTCAGAACTGAAGATGTTGGCACACTTGCAATTATTCTCATAAAAACATAAGTGTTCTCCTTTAATAAATGCCCAAGTGTGGGATTAAGGAATATGATTCCAAAGAACTTCACCCGTTTCGAGACAGGTATGAATGTGTCTATTATGAGGCATATAATATACCACCTTAATCTGATGTCTCAGATGCAGCCTAGTTTGGGAGGGGGCTCATATATAATTTTGAATGCCTTTCATCAGGAACCACCATCTATGGCGAGGTACTTATGGTAAGTAGCATCATCAATTGCCCTCTGTTCTGTGGCTACAGAAGTAAGAGGGAGCTTGCAGTCTCTAGCCAGGTGTCAAAGAGATGCTGGGAACTTTTCCCCCACGCCATTCCATTAAGACTCATAGAACTGTAGTGTTGGAAGGCACCTTAAGGGTCATCTAGTCTAGCCCTCTGGAATCACAGCTAACACGCATCATAAATAAGTTCTGAGGCCTGTTGGGATTTCTGCGCACCCCACCTCATTTCATCAATAAGTATGTTTCCTAGATCACTGCACTACTGAAAGTATGCATTGAAATGACATTCCTTATGTCATAAGGAGGTACATAAATCATCTCAACAATGCTTCTTTGGGGATGGTTTACTTATTGCATTTATAGTCCACCTTCTTCTCCAAACTGCTCCCCCTCCCCATTTAACCCCCACAAGGACCCTTCAAGGGAGGCTACTCTGAGATACATGATCACACCTCAAGGACACTTTCCAGCTAGGTAAAACTCTCAAGGAGGATGTGAAGCAGTGCCAGAAGGCTGCATGGCTAGGGAGGACGTTGGGTGAGTCCCATGGGCCGGGTTAAGAAACTTGGAGGGCCACATTCAGCTTTGGGCATTAAGTTACTCATACCAGCTCCACTCTGACTGGCAGTCAAGTTTCTAGTCATAGAGGAGATGCTACAGAAGAAACCCAGGTCATTCTGCATGTTCTTCTACCACTGATCTATGGATGGCCCTTCTGGTATTTATACCCAAGTGGTATGTACTAATCTTGGATCCTAAAACAATAGGCAAGTAGGATCCTAGAAAGCAACAACTGATTGGCTTGCAGGGAAAGACCAATCAGGCTCCAGGAGGGAAGCAGAATCAGCCAATCAGACGGGACTCCTTGTGTAAATAATGTATATAAAAGCCTGAGGTTTGAGGGGCAATTCAATCACTGTTTTACAAGCTGCAATAACGAGCATGAAATCACTACAGGACTCTGAGTATATTTCACCAAGCATATCTCTCTCTCTCTCTCTCTCTCTCTCTCTCTCTCTCTCTCTCACACACACACACACACACACACACACACACCTTATTTGATCTGTCTGAAAGGCTGACTAAGTGGAATAGGGCCACACCACACCAACAAAAGTTTTCTCTCCTTCTCAAAGCAAACAAAATTGCACACATGGCTCCATCAGCAGGTCAACTCATCTTGATCTTATCCCTTTGTTCCAGATGGCCCAGAAATATCAATTTCTTTCTTTCATCCACGCCAGCCTTTAGCCTCTGCAAGCATGATGAAGCTGGGGGGGAGAGAGCAACCCCATTCCAGGAAAACGAGAGAGAGAGAGAGAGCGCACATGACCATTTTAAAGATTTTTCCCCCACCTTCTCCTCCACTGTTGTTTTCAGAGTTATTGAGCTGCCAAGCGTCAGCTGTGAGTGCCCACAGCTGCC